CCGAGGGAGAGAAGATACTTTTGCGTACTTTGAGTACCGAGAACACGCGACGAAGTTGTGCCGTTGCTCGCGAGTACGGTTACAACGCATACTCGTCGAATATTACTGGATTCAGGATCTCAATCCAACTTTATTACCAATAGTCTTGCCAATGAGCTCAAGCTCGCTCGGACCCGAGCTAACATGTCTGTCACAGGGATAGATAAGTCTCAAACACACTCTAATCATATAGTTAACGTAAAATTCAAATCCGTTCATACATCATTTTCGCGAAACATTGAATGTCATGTGCTAAACAGTATCACAGGAAAACTACCTCCGGTGCGCGTCAATCTCAACAATTTCAAGATACCGAGCAACATACGATTAGCTGATCCCTATTTCCACATACCGGGCTCCATAGATATGCTTATAGGCGCTGAGATGTTTTGGCAACTGTTATGCGTGGGACAAATACGCATCCACCAAAACCTACCTACACTACAAAAGACCCAGCTCGGCTGGATCGTCGGTGACAAGACATACAATGATGGTCCGATAGGGTCCGAGGTCTGTACCTTGTCAACTAATCAACAGATCAATCAAGCAGTGAACAAGTTCTGGGAAATGGAGTTCATCACTAATAAAATGTCTTTCAATCCTGACGAAAGAAATTGCATGGAGCGCTTCGCCGAGACTACTACAAGGAATGCAGGCGGACGTTTCATCGTGCAAATGCCTGTCAAGGAGGCCAAGTTACGACAACTTGGTGAATCTCGCAATACAGCATTGAACAGATTCCTCAGTTTGGAGCGCAAATTACACAAGCAACCAAGGCTGAAGGAGCAGTACGTACTCTTCATGAACGAGTACTAAGCTCTGGGTCATATGGAACGCATCACCATCGAACAAGAAATGGCACTCACTCCGCGCTACTATATCCCTCATCACGCTGTATTAAAGGGCAGCAGCCTAACCACTAAGTTGCGTGTGGTGTTCGATGCGTCGTGTAAAAGCAGCACCGGCATTTCGCTCAATGAGTGCCTCTCAGTAGGACCCACCTGCAAGAAGATCTGTTCTCGATCTTACTACGCTTTCGTACCTTCCAGTATGTCATTACGGCTGACATTACCCAAATGTATCGTCAAATATTAATAGACGAATCGCAAACACCGCTTCAAACAATTCTCTGGCGTACTGATTCAAGCGAAAAGATGGCAGCATTTGAATTGAAAACTGTGACATACGGCACAGCATCCTTTCTTCCTTTCATAGCCGTGAGAGCTATGCAGGAGTTAGCCAACACATACGCCTCAACCTACCCAGTGGGTTAGAGTGCTATCATCAATGACTTCTATGTCGATGACTTATTGTCAGGAGCCAATACTGAGCAAGAAATTAGAGTCCTACGGAATGAAACCATCAAGATACTAAACTCGGGAGGTTTCCATCTCAGAAAATGGGCGTCCAATTGCCCTAAGCTATTAGAGGACGTACCTCATGCCGACATCTGCGAGCCCATTCACTTCATTAACACGAACGAAGAGGTGTCTACGTTGGGCATGCTTTGGAATACAAAAACCGATGATCTTCAATATCATATCGATCCCTCTGATCACACCAGGATAACCAAACGGAGCATGTTGTCTGTGCTATCAAGAATATTTGATCCTCTAGGACTTTTAGGTCCTATAACGCTTGCAGCCAAGATTCTTATATAGAGGGTATGGCAGCTTGATTTGGCATGGGATGAAACCGTACCCATGAGCTTACACACTGCATGGACAAGGTTCGCATCCCAGCTGAGCGCCGTTGGCGAACTCAAGGTACCACGTTACGTAGCATGCAAGAATGCAGTCAGCATTCAAATCCATGGTTTCTCTGATGCAAGTGAGAAGGCATACGGAGCCTGCGTCTACCTCAGGGTCGCAGGCCCGCAAGGTCAAATCTCCACGCGGTTGCTGTGCTCAAGGTCCCGCGTTGCCCCCCTGAAGGCGATTACCTTGCTACGGCTAGAGCTATGCGGGGCAGTATTGCTGGCACAATTAATGGACAAAGTTTTGAGAGCAGTGCGCTTCGAACCAGAAGCGATATATTGTTGGACCGATTCCACAATAGTGATACACTGGATAAGGGCTACAGACAAGAACTGGAACGTCTTCGTCACCAACAGGGTCAGCGAAATTCATCGGCTATCTCAGGCAAGCAGTTGGTTCCATGTCGCCACAGAATGCAATCCAGCTGACTACGTATCCAGAGGCTCTTTGCCCTCAATCTTAATCGATGCGGTTCTCTGGTGGTCTGGTCCACCATGGCTCGAAAGGGAAATTCAGAATTGGTGCACAAGTATTCCGGCTGTTCCACCCAACGAATTGCCAGAGCAAAGGCGCG